TTTTTTTTTTCAAGAATGATTCCGTTTGTGCCAGATTATCTCAATGAATAGCTGAGCGGTTTTACAAAATTTTGGTGCGAACCCTTTTGCAGCGTCTAGAGTAGCTGTGTGCTGATGCAGTGCCGGTTCCGTGTCAGCGCCGTGCCGGAACCCTGTGAATGCTCCCCGTATTATCGATTAGCGTTTCGCCACGGCGCTGGAACGGCGCTGGCACGCTCAACTCTGCACCTCTTTTTGCTTTACTTGTGATCAGGCGTATTGCCCATGGAATGAACTATGGTAATTTAGGCATAGCAATACTATCTGTCGTAGCTATGATGTACTTACGAGCCGCAGATAATGTGGAAGACAGTGGCACAGACGAGTATTTGAGAAAACTCGTCCGACAGATTAACGACAATTCTAGCTCAACTTGGAAGGTGAGGAGACTCGGCATATATGCTTAGACTGAAGTCTCGTGTAACTCGGGGAGCTGTGGAGAGAATTAGACTACATTTTCAGAGTTTCATTATTCGGTTAGACTGCATCCAGAACGCGTGTGCCGGCTCGTGCCAGCGCCGTTCCAGAGCCAAAGTGTTACTGGTGTTAGTGGCGCACTGTGTTATCGATCGATTGATACGGCACAGTTTTGGTACGGCGCTGGAACGGGGCTAGTATACACAATGTGGAAGTAGCCTAATGACAAATTGTGGACTGTGTAGTGTTCTCATATGTCCATGGGTCATTTCCAGGCAAAATTCAACAAATTTGGAGTCAAAGACCGATCTTACGGATTCAAATACACAAGGAACTCTACCGCAGTGCGAGAGGTTATGGTAGAATTGGAGAAGTTCTTCAACTCTGATGCTATGAAGCGGCATCTTCAGTAAGTTGATTAGCGGTTTTCCTCTTCAAGTACCGAAAAAAATTTATTTTTGTGTTTTTTCCCGAATTTTACGGTGAGTGAAAAATAGACTAATGGATTTCCAGGGAGCTTACGGATTATCCCGACTCCTCTTTACCGACTCACTTCGATGCTCGACTGAAATGGCCTAATTGTCCATCTATCGCAAGAGTTCCTAACCAAGGTGGATGTGGAAGTTGCTATGTGGGTGTTTTTTTTTTCAAGAGGAAAGGAAGGGGAGAAGTTGGGAAGAAGGAGAGACGAATCGAAAAAGCTTCAAACATTCCTTGTACAAGTTAGAAGAGAGAAGCCGCGACGGAGATTTTTTATAGAGATTTTTTAAGTTTTAAAACAACACATACAATTCGAATTTTATCACAGAATCCATGAAATCGGAACACATAAAATTACTTGGAGTGCACGATTTTATGTCTTCAGATAATTCAGTTTACTTTGACATCAGCATCAAAACTATGCTTTTAAAGCAATTTAGTGAGAATGACTTTTTTCTAGGCAGTTGCTGCAGCAGGAGTAGCTTCTGATCGAGCTTGTATTCAATCCAATGGTACTTTCCGTGCTTCACTCAGTGATCAAGATGTCTTGGGTTGTTGTGACGTGTGTGGAAATTGCTATGGTGGTGATCCGTTGAAGGCTATGGTCTACTGGGTCAATCAGGGAATGGTTACGGGTGAGTTGTTGGTTTCCCGGGTTTCTTGTTTGCAAGCTGATAGGGGAACCTTGATCAGGCCATTGCCCAAAGGGCAGCTTATATGAATACTTCTTGGCTGAGAATTTTTTTCCGACGTCCCGCCCAGTATCGTACTCGACCTGCTACGCACAGGAAGTGTACGGTAACTGGGCGAGAGTTTGGAGCTGGATATTTCGGCCGCGAATAGATCTTATGAGCTGCCGCTTGGCTAATGGCTTGATTATTCCTCCCCATCAGTCTTCATTCAAGAAACCCTGCTACCTTTTTTAGGTGGCCGAGATGGTTGTCGACCTTACACATTCGACATTACATGTGGAGCGCCCTGCTCACCGCAGACTTTCTTCGACGCAGAAAAATCTCGAACCTGTGTCAAACGGTGCCAAAACATCTACTATCAGAATAGATACGATGATGACAAGCATTTTGGTGAG